TTTGTGTGAAAGTTTTGATAACAAATTCAATAAAAAAAATAGATATATGGGTACTCAGATTTTTCATTTTTTCTGTTAGTTTTGGTTAGATGGTTTTCAAGAAATTTGTGCATTTTAAGTTGATTTTATAGACATAAAATTGTTCATAGTAATCCCTTATTATTCTTTTATTGTATGTAAAACCTGTAGTGATACGCCCTCTTTCAGTCTCAATATTGGTAAATTGTGATTTGCTTGTTTTTTTTTATCAGTCTTGCTGGGGCTTAGCAATTTTATTAATTTTTTCAATGAACAAATTTTGGGCTTTGTTAATTTTTTAATACAGCTTGCTTTGTATTTCACTGATTTCTGTTATTTTCATTATCATCTCTCTTCTATATCTTTTGAGTTTAATTTGTTTATATTTTTTATTTTGTTTATATTTAAAGTGAAAACTTAGATTATTGGTTTTAAACAGTTCCCTTCCCATTTCTGCCTGCTTTTGGTTGTACTCTGGTGTCTTTCAAGCAGCTAGGTAAAATATTTTGTCCATAGTTTATAAGTGTTATCTGCAGGATATTCTAATAGCCCTTCCACGATTACTGGAACTGGAATTCAGCTTTAAGCTTTATAATCTTGGGTAAGTATTCTAACCCAAGTGCCAAATTCCTCTTCTGTAAACTGGGGATAATAGGACAACATATACCTTGGAAGATTGTTTGTCATGTAAAGCAAATGAGATAATGCGTTGAGATATATTTTGAAAGAATAGCATGAAATACAAATTACCTTTATTATCATCAATACAATAAAAAGAATTACTCCCATGGCATGCACCTGTATTTGCACTAAAAGTTAAGACACAATACTAAGTCATTTAATATTCATAGTCTGGCAGATGAGGAAGATATTCCTTTTTCTTCTTCCAAGGTACTCTAACCTTGTAATTATATGCAGCTTCATATTCAACTGATATTGATTAAATGCCTATCATGCATACATTAGGCATGTTTATGTGCTCTATCTTATTCAATTTATTTCTCACATAAAAATAGTGCCCTCCAATTTATCAGCATGTAACAATATCTCAAAAAAATTTTTACACTTTGATTCCACTCTTAAAAATTTATCCTAAGGAAATCATCAGAGATGGTACCCAGATTTATGTGCAAAATGCATATTGTAGCCTTATTCATAATAACAAAAAGTTTGGAACAAGCAAAATAAATATGTGTAAAGGATTCATCAAATAAATTGTGATGCATACATATAATGCAGTATTATTCAGCTGTTAAAAACGTATTTCAAAGGTTATTTTATCACATGGGGAAAATGTACATAATAGAATATTAAATGTAAAGAATAAGATTACTGTGTAAACATCATGATTATAATTTTATTAGAAAATATGAATCAGAAAAAAAATAACAGGAAGGGAATAAACCAAAAGGCTAAGAATGATTATCCCTGGAGTGATACAGTTAGGGATGACTCTTCACGTACTTTGCCAGGGTTCTAAACTGTTCACAATGAATGTATAATTTTTACTTTCAGTTTTCCCTTTGGCCCCCAGATACATTCTGAAGTGGATGAATCATAATCCTCAGTTCAGTAAATACTCTCTTCATTGGTCCATGAATAGCCATTATTTATTAATGTGTTTGTTTATTATAATGTAACAAGTACTCATAAACGCAATGATCAGTAAAAAAGGTAGAACTTGAACAAAAATATACATCTAGATATGAATCTTCTTGATTGTGCCACTCACCACTTTTCTCTAACCAAGATAACCTCTGTCTGAAATCTCATAATTCCTTTGTTTGCCTTTTAATAGTGTTGTATCTAATTTGCTATATAGCCCTAAAAAGCATATAATTTTTTACTTTGCTAGCTTCAATTTTTTTGAGAGTAATATGCTATATATTATCTTCTAAGACTCTTTTATACTTAATGTTTTATTGCTAAGATTCATCTATATTGATGTATGCCACTGGAGCTCATTTATTTTAATGACTATATACTATTCCTTTGTATGACCATATTACGGGTATTTTGTATTTAGGCTATTTCCAGGCTTTTCCTGTTATGAACACTACTATGAACATTCTTATCCACGTCTTCCCAGTGCCCCCGTATAATAAATTCTCTTGGATATAAATCTGGGAGTGGAAATGCTCATCATAAGGTATGTGAAAGTTTAACTTTAAAAGATAGTGTCAAACTGTTTTTTCTATGTGGCTGCATCAGTTAATATATATTTCCACCAACGGAGATCCTATGGGTCTGTATTCTTGCCAGCATTTGGTCTTGTCATATGTATTACTTTCATATTCAGGAGAAGAAAAATTTTTCTAAAAACAAATAAGAATGGAAACAAAATCACCTTGCCTCCCTTTCCCCCAAATTCTGGGAAAGATTTGGGGCACAGGAGATAATGTATAAAACTATCCTTCCACCAACAGCTTTTCAAAACCTTCCAGGTCTGGAAACCCTCTCCTACCAAGTGGAAACAATGCGGGGTGTGAGAAGGTAGGAAACTGCAGTTTTGTGTCATGAGGACTCTTTCCAGCAGATGGTAAAATTATGCTGCAGGTCTAAATTAGAAACCTCTCTCATATTCTCATTTCTCTCTCTCTCTCTCTCTCTCTCTCTCTCTCTCTCTCTCTCTCTCTCTCTCTCTCTCTCTCTCTCTCTCTCCTGAAATACAAACACTGGCCCAGACACATCCTTTTTATTCTCTGCAATACGTTCCCAAGATACTCTCTTTGCAAATAGCAAAGAACTAACCTGCTTATCTGGTGTTTTGTTCTTGACTCCAGAGTAAGAACTTACCAGTTACACTAAGTGGGGTAAGGGGTTCCCTGCACAAGCGCTGGAACGAGTAAGAAATAGGAACCGGAAAAATTGAAAAGCCCATTTCAATTGTGGCACACGGCTTGCTTCTCCTTTCAGAACTGAATCCCAGTTTCTATCAATTTGCAGGAGCCTGGGACGTGATACAGAGCACCAGATGGACGTGAGGGTGTGTGATTTTGCCCACTGATTCTGAAAGAGGTAGGCAGCCCATTTAAACATACTATACAGAAAAACAACCAGGAGAAAACTGAGGGCCAAATGCTTCTCAGTCTGGGCTTATCATTCAGGCTAGAGACCACAAAGGATGACCCTCAGAGGCGGTCCTCCAGGGCAGTTTCACAAGCCCCTTCAGTCTGCTTTGCGGGGTCCTGTCAGGGCTCTGGAGAAAGCAAGGAGAGTCAGGGAGGCAGTTAACACCCCATCTTATTTTAGATAGAAATAGAGTGGCTTCAAAAGAGTCTATTTAACATATTTGGTTTCAAAATCAATTTTCTGGTGAAAAAAGTCCTCTATCTTAAAGAAAGTTCAGGAGCCACTGATAGTGTTTAAGACTGTAAGGTTTCAGGGTAACAGATCTGAAATAATCTTTGGGACATCAGAGCTATATGGAAAGAGGTTAGATGTGGATTCTGTGGTGCAGAAGGTAGGTCCACGTCTTTTCAAAACCAACCAAGTAGGAAATAAGGCTTGAATCTTCTGATAAAAATTAAGGAGCCAAACCTAGGACTGTTACTCTAATGTCAGTAAGATTCATGAGGGGAAGGAAACAGTACCAATTTTGTTCACCCTTGTATTCTTGCACCTAGCACAGTGCCTGGTACATAATGGGTGTTAAAATTATTTGATAAAGGAAGAAAGAAAAAAGAAAGATGGAGGGAGGCATACCATGTGGGCAGGGCCAAGAGTGTCTTTACAAAATAACTCTAAAACTTGTCCAAAAAATAAGCGCGTGCGCGCACACACACACACACACACACACACACACACACACACACCTGAAGTTTTTCATCAGAGAGCACAACGAAGAAAAAATTCAGAATAACAGTCAGCAAAAATTTACCTCATCTACAGAAAAACCTTAACAACATACCTGTGACACGTCTTACTTTAAAGAGCATCAGTTCCTTGGAACCCTCCAGTAAAACTTAGCTGTGACCTGAACCTCTAAGCAGCTCACCTGCTATCTAGAGCTGTAAATAGATACATTTTTAAGAACATATGCCCAGAAGCATTTGGGCTTAGCAGTAATTGATTCGAGGCCCCTCTGTTTGCAGGCAGAGAGGTCGAAGTTCCATCCTTGGTCCCTGACCTTCGCCTGAAATCACTGCTGTACAGTATGGCGGGCCAGCCGCCACAAGTCGATCAGTACCCGAAGGGGGGAGTGGGAATGAATAAAGAGACACTCACACAAATGCTGATGCGGCCGGTCTTCACTGATGGTGAAGCACTGAGTTTATTTTTCCTCACCAATATATGCAGTTTGAGTACGTGCAACACTGCAGGTACAACTACGCATTACCTCATACAGAAGAAGATCATTAACTATCTACTGGAGACTTAAAGATCAGGGGGGCTTTAGGGGATTAGCTTCCCAGGACACTTTCTTCCATTAGCCAAGATAGCCATCTATCTATAGTATCTCCTAAGGAACTGGCCATCCTCACCACATTCCTCAACAACTTGTATGCACCATCCAGGTGCAGGCAGAGACAATGCCTTAGGAGCAGAAACAGGTTAAGCATTAACTGAGCCAGTCTGTAAGGCTCTGAATTTGTAACCATGGCTCCCCATAGTACAGGACACGCTCTCCTTTCTGTTCTCAGCAGCAAGCAACAACCAAGGTTGAGGAGGTGGGCACACACGCATTCTTTGTAAGGATCAAAAAGGGGCCGGAAATCAGCACATATTTTAAACAAAGGGCATAAAACACTGCACCATTTGGCACTGCTCTCAGACTAACAAAAAAGAAAATTGTGTATGTTTTTGAGAAGCCACACTTAACTGGCTCCAACTCTGTAGGCGGTATATAATATGCTTGTTCATTGTAAGGATCCGTTAATGGGCTTCTATTTTGAGTATAAGCAGCTAAATCCAAAATTGGTTTCAACCCACAGAGTGAAAGGCTGAGGAAATCTCAACATAGATACAATAGACAATCTTACCTGTAGTTCATGAGAGATTCCTGCAGAAATGGATAAAGAAGGTATCGAGGCTCCATGGACCCCAAATCAGGCAGAGTAGCCCTGGAATTTTCAGGCTGGACCTTACCAGGAAGGAAATAAGCACAGCATTTAGGAAATATCTTTAATAAACTGATAAGGCATTAATTTGAAGGGAGTAAACTATATTTATTACACTTTCCAGTGGGCTCAAATTGGTAAGTTGCATTGGACCCTACCAGTCAGAGCAGACCACAAAGAATCCTTCAGGAAAAAAGCCTTTATTAGACGATTAAAGTTTAAGAGGTTTGTAAAATAAACTAAACTTTGTGAGAGGACGTGACCAAAATCCAATCAGAGCAGAGCCTGTGATCTATGAATTTTAAGACATTACTGCTGAGATTGACAAGCTAAAAACGGGAAGGTGTGAGTCTGGATTTCAGCATTGGTGTTCCCTCAGCCAATTCATGCCTGGCTGATTATGTCCCGAAATCTTACCTCATTCATGGCTGTAACTGCCAAACTCGGGGCCTCCCACAAAGATTCGAGTCTTTTGGACGAGCAAGAAGTTTATGTAAGATTTGAAGCCAATAAGTCCTAAAGTAACCTCTTGCAAATTCTATTAATCTATGGTTTCGGTGGTTTAGCCTGGTTTTTGTTGCTGTCGCTTCCCCTGCCTCAACAAAGCAGGAACGTGAGGGTACATATGGCGTCCACCCCAACACGAAACAGAGAGCCCCTCACTCACTCCACCCCTAGTTATGAGTCCCTTGTCCATGCCAGGCAATCTTCTAGGTCCTGGGGAAACAGCAATGAACAAAGCCACGTCCAGCCCCCAGGGAGGCCCCTTCTAGCTTTCAACAAGGATACACTAGTGGAGGCTAGACAGAGGCAGAACATCTTAAGAAACCAGAGGTGGTATTTTAAAAGACCTTCATTTGGCAAAATGTGGGCACAACTAGGCCCCAGCACAGCTATGCCAAGGGCAAAGAGGCGGGGGGCTTTATCTCTCTTACCCCAATCTTCATCTTAAGATAAGTAGAGATGGATTCTTTATAATATTACACGGCTACTAACTGTAGTGCTAAAATTTCCCCCAGTGGGTCCCCATGTTTAGATTCTCTTTATTAATAGATTGTCTATGGAGGACAGACTTTAGCTATAGAAGTTGCAAATAAGCAAGACATGCCCCAGGGAGCATGGCAGATGAGAACTGGGCTAAAGGTGTGCCTTACGAACACAGGACTTACTGATGGGCAGCAGCTGCCAGACAAGTAGAAGATAAGACAGCAAGAGGGTGTGCTTCAGAGACAAGTTGCCAGCCAGAGGTAGTGGCTAACCACGCAAGTGGAACAGAAGGGTAAGCTAAAACAGTGTTTGGGGGCTTGGGCCAGTAGAAGTTCATTCACGACACAGGAAAGAATAGTTTGAGCCAAGAGGTGGAGGAAAAGTCTAGATGCCATGGTGGGAGGAGGTCGTTGGTGATGACGCAGTAAGGGCCGTTGTGAGAGCAGGCTCCGTGAAGAACGATTGCACTCACCTCCTAAACGGCCTCCTGGCACCTGCTCCATTCTGCACACCGCTTGCTGCTAGAATACACATTCCCAGGCTCAGAATTCTTTCACAGTGCTGCTGTCACCTGCACAATAAATGTCAAACTTCTTAGCGCAGATACCCCATCCCAAATCGGGGTTACAGTTATTTGCATCACTGCCAGTCTTTGCCACTGCAGACACTGCCCCTTCAAGGAATGGACCGTTTCTTATTAGGCTTTTTATGTCACCCCAAGTCTACTCATTATGATATGAAGCTCAGCTCATGGGGTTGAATGAATGGAAAAATAAGTGAGAGTTGGAATGAAAGAATGAATGAATGATACCGACACTGCCTGTCTTTGTAACAATGGGTTCCTGAGCCCTACAATACGGAAGTTGAAGATAACCTATAATTTTCCTTTGTGAGATGCCTGTCACGTTAAAAGAAATCCAACACCCTGTTGTTGCTTAGTCATTGTCAAAGGGCTTTATTTTAGTGAGTTACCTTGATATTTCCTTGTTACAACGAGACAAGTTCAATTGACACGAAGATCCCTGATTGGAATCGGATGCTCCCGGTGATATGACAAGTGTGAATGGAAGCACTGCCATTTAGCGTGACATTAAGACGGAACACATGCGCAGGTCTGTCAGGCCTCTGAGTTGTGCCACGGAATCGCCAGGATGCTAATCGACTTTGCTTTGTGATTCCCTTGTCGGCACATTTATTTTAGCTCCTCTGGCAGAGCCGGAGGCTTGCTCTGCTAAATGCACGATGACGTTGTTTTCTAATTAGGTGTCTTGACGCAGCAGGTATTCCAGTGTTGAACAATTGCTTTTGTTTCCTGAATGTGCCAGCAAGCTGTCTCGCTTCTAACTGCCTGCTCTCTCAGAAACGTTATCCGCAATGTAAAATGAGAGAACACCTGGAAGGCACCTGGCCGAGTGTGTGTGGCGCCTGGGAGGTCTTTGGGAAACGGGCACCCCATCCCCTGGTTCACCTTCGCCTTCTGACCTTCTAATTAACCCCAGAGATAGAATATGACCTCCGTAAGGCTTACAGCTTTTTATTATTCATCCCAGAAGAGTGTTCAGGAATTCTATGAACAGATTCTCAATGGATTCTGGAAATCATAAAAGCCATATTGTATACTGCGTGCGTTCCGTGTGCCAGGGTCTCAACTTTTCGTTTCCTTTCATCCTCACAGGAAGTCTATGAGGTAGAAAATTATTTTCCTCTCTGCCTTTTAGAGGAAGGAACCCTAACTGAGAAGTCCAGTAGCTGAGGGTACAGAGTGGGTGAGTAAGGGGGGTGAGACAAGAACCCCCATCTACCTCTCTCCAAATTTCTTCATCCCCGAACGGGACCGGGCCTTGTGCACTGTCCTGCCCTCTTCAAGCATGCTTCTGGGGGCCAGCTCTGTACGGGCGCTATGCAGGACACAAAGATGGACGTGCCACAGCCCTGCCCTGAGGCATCCTTCCGGGCTGAACAGTATTGTCACTGACCCCAGGTTTAAGTGCCAGCGCTCCCTGGGCCTGGAGAGAGGCCAGTCACGGCTCGGCCCTTCCTCTGGGCTGCTGCACCTGGAATGTGGAGGAAGGAAGAACTTCCTGTAGCTAGGGCACAGCTTGACCCCCTCTCCCTGCAAACTCCCCCCTCCACTTCCGCCCCCAATTTCAGCCCAGAGGGGAGAGAACAGCAGGTGCTCCTGCCCCCTCAACGTTCTGGGAGCCCATTCATTGTCTAATTTTGCTTAGGCCTGGCCTGCTTCCCTGGGCATGTGGGCAGAGCACCAGCTAATTGGCAGGGCTGCTCCCAACACCAAAGGACTCAAAGCTGCCTGTTCACCCGCAGGGGGTCCGTGTTCCCAGCTTGCGCTCTGACATTTTCTGGGGCCTGAGGAAGGTGTAACAGGGAAAATCAGGTCCGGACAGCTTGGCAGAGATGACCCCAGAGGAAGGGACGCAGGTGAAATCCAGCTGGTCGAGATGCTGGGTCGGCAAGGAGGACACCTGACCCGGGGAGAAGGATAAGTCCTTGTAGGGACAGAGCAAAGCTCGTCCTGTCCTCCTCCCACCTGCCAGGCCCAGGGAGCCTGATTCCTGGTAGACAACAAGGTTGATGAGTTGGAGGCCGTTCCCTGCTCCCCACTCCCAGCTCCCAGCAAGAGCCCTTACTCAGTAAGACACAAATGTCTGTGGGTGACTGTTGCAGGTGCTGTGGTGCTCCTTGACCTGGACAAAGAAACCCCTCACAGAGACTTCGTAGCCAGGTATATTTATGTTCAAATCTCACCTCTGTGGCTGACTGTAGCTAACTTTTACTGGGCCTTGAGTTAAGGAAGGTCTTTTGAACACTATATCATTTAATGCTCTCAACTACCCTTCAAGGGAAATTATCTTTTAATCTTTGTTTTATAAGAAATGGAAGCTTAGTTCAATACTTTGCCTGTGGAGATAGACCCAGAGAGTGCCAGTGCTGGGCCTAGAACTTGATTCTGGCTGACGGAAGTCCATGCTGTAAACCATTAGGGCTCTTGTACAGAGACCCTTTGTGTGAAGACATAATGATATATGAGACAGTGCCTGTCCTCATGGAGAATGAGTTCCTTAGTTTCATCACCTCTAATGGAATTAATATTATGCATCTTGCAGGGTTTTTGTGAAAATGAGAGATAATGTAAAAAGGTCCTTGAGGGTTGGGGTGCAGGGGAGTCCCCGATCCCTCCCTGGAGAGGGAACTGCAAGGCTCATTCTTACTGCTGTTATTTCTCTTAAATTAAATCTCTTTCAAAAACATTACATTAAATTAGAATGGAGCAACTGTTGAGTCTGAAGGGTGAGGCAATGGGTTTTGTTTTCGTTTTCATGTTTTCCAAATTAAAATCCTATGTTATGTTTTTCTCACTGTAATTGTAATACATGTTGACACATTCATTATGGAAACTATAGAAACTGTAAAATCGAAAGTAAGAAAAATCTTTACTTCCCACTGTTCAGAGATGATGACTGTTAAAACATTTTTTCTTTATTTCCAGTGTTTCATTAATATATTTGCTTTTTAAAAAAATAACATTGGTATAATATTGCATGCTACTATACTATATCTCACTTTTAAAATGCAATATATCCTGAACATTTCACCCTGACATCAAATAATTCTTAAGACATACAAAAATTAATGGTTGCTTTCCGATTTTCTTTGCAAAGTGGTTTATTACTTTTGTACTGGAAAAAAATATGCTTAAAGGAACTCCACTGTGTTAAGAATACATTTGTTTTTTGGCAGGGGGAATGCATTGCTTTGCCCAACAGGTGTAGTGTCCTATGTTTTATGTCCCACTCAGGCCACGTGGAGGGTGGTAATCCCCAATAGAGATAGGTGACTTTGTGAGGGTTCAATGAGATCAGGTATGCGATGTCCCCAGGAGAGTGTGGGCCCTGGTGAGTGCTCACTGATGACAAAACTGTGTTAGTCAATGACAATGCCAAGAGAACAGATGGTTGCTGCTTGGGGGTGCCTGCAGAGCTGGGGGATAGCCCTGCCAGGTTGTGCTGGACCCAGCTCCCATGGACTCCCAACAGCCAATTGTTAAATCCTCAGGGACTTTGCAAGCTACTTGTTAAAGGTTGTGAATCCATTGGTAGTTTGGAATCTGTCATGGTGGGAGTATTAACACTGCAAAAATCGGAAATCAGCAAATGCTACAATCAGGGCTATTTATTTGCATATAGGTACACACACACACACACACACACACACACACACATTTTTACCAGCGCACCACTTGGCAGGGACAATCCAAAGAATGGCTTTGCTGCTCCTCCAAGTGCCCTACAGAGCCCTACAGAAAATGCTTCTGAAGGCTCGTGTAGAATTATTAGATTTTGTAAAGATGGGATGTGATAAGCGCGAGCTAAAATCCTGGTGTGATTGCTCTTGCTTTGACTGTAAAGAGGAAGCATAAGCGTTGGGGAGTTTAAAAGGGCAAACCAGAGGAGGAAAACATGAATTACGGGATTGGAGGATGAGACTGCAAGAAAAGGGGAGACTTGTCACCTGGCGGGACAAGGACCTGTTCATGTGAGTGAATAGGAAGCTGAGGGTTGGAGAGACATCCTTGTCTGAGAGAAGGCTGTGGGGAGGAGCTGAAGAACGGATGCACGCAGAAGGTCCTCTTCCGACGTTCCACACTGAGCCAGCAGGCACGGGTCAGAGGCAAAGGGTCTGTGTGCTAGAAGGGTTCACAGGTCACTGACCCACCTTCTTCATCTGATAGGTAAGGAAGTGGGGTCCAGAGAAGGTAAGGAACGTTCCCCAAATCTAGAATGAAGGGTGTTAGACTCCCAGCTCAAGGCTCTTGTCTGGGATGCCTACTGCCTGATTTGTTATGGATGATATACCTGTAGTCACATAAACACGAGGTTTGACAATTAAGTTCGCGAACTTTCCACCGTGTGCTTATGGGTGGAGTTTAAGGGACTTCAAGCAGAAAAGTCTTAGTCTGTTGGGCTGCTACAGGAGAATACCATAGACTGGCTGGCTTATAAACAACAGAAATTTATTTCCCACAGGTCTGGAGGCTGGAAAATCCAAGATCAAGGCACCAGCAGATTTGGTGTCTGGTGAGATCTGAGTCCTGGTTCATAGATGCTGTCAGTTTGCTGTGTCTTCACCTGGTGGAAGGGGTGAGGAATTTCTCTAGGGTCTCTTTCATAAGGGCACTAATTCCATTCCTGAGGGCTCCACCCTCATGACCCGATCACCTCTCCTAATACCATCATCCTGGGAGTTAGGATTTCAGTGTATGAATTTGGGGGCAGGGAACATAAACATGCACTGTGGGACTGTGGAAATGGAGTAGAGGGAGGAATCGGTGAAATGCATGTCATGAAAAGAAGGAAGAAACAGGCGAAGGTAAAGGGAACATTTGGTTTTTAGGTATATTAATGAGAAATCAATTTGTGACTGGATATGGAAATTGGGTACAGGTATATCAAATAATATCTTATTTAGATTAATACCCAAATTGAGAAGAGCCCCAACTCCATCCTGCCTCGTTACAGGAACTTGGCCCTGGCAATCATTTCTAAGAGTCCCCCCCCACCCACCCGCGCACCCCACCAGGTGCTTAGAGATAGGCTGTATTCTTCCTCTCCCGCTTTGTCCTGCCTTGCAGTCTGGGTTCTCTGGTGGAAGCGAAGACAGAGTTTAAGCTTCAAGATATTTACTGGAGTAGCAGCAACACCTGTGAAAGGCAGGGAAGGATGCGTGTAGGGCACAGAAGGAATTTCAGTACACGCCCAGCAAGGGCTCTGCCAACCAGGTGGAGGGTCTCTGCAGAGACTTCTGCTGTCCTGTGTGACGTGGGCAGGGTTTTCCTCAGCTGCTTCACTCAGGCCCCCGACGAGAGCGGCCCAGGGAGGGGATGAGCAGGCAGAGAGGCTCTCTGCAGCCAGGCTGATGCTGCAAGAGCGGACCCCCGGAGGCTGAGGCTAACTGCTCCCCTACAGCTGCATGGGGGAGACACAGGTCCCCTTTCCTGCTCTATCCCCCTCTCAATGGTGATGCAGTG